GCAGGAATGGTCGAACAAATGGTTGTTAGAGTTTAACCCAAGCAAATGTAATGTAATGAATATAGGTGTAGGGAGCAGGAGATCAGATACAAGGTATCATTTGGGAGATAAAATACTTCAAGAGTCAGAGAGACACCTAGGGATTGATATCACGCCAGACCTATCCCCTGAAGCTCATATCAAGAGGATAACATCAGCGGCATATGCCAGGTTGGCTAACATAAGAACGGCCTTTAGAAACTTGTGCAAGGAATCTTTCAGAACATTATATACCACATATGTCAGACCAATCCTGGCGTATGCGGCCCCAGCATGGAGTCCATATGTAGTCAAGCATAAGACTAAACTGGAAAAGGTTCAAAGTTTTACCACCAGACTAGTATCCAAACTGAGGGGTATGAGCTACGAGAGGAGACTACAGGAATTAAACCTCACATCATTGGGAGACAGAAGAGTTAAGAGGGGACATGATCCCCACATACAAGATTCTCAGAGGAATTGATAGGGTAGATAAAGACAGACTTTTTAACACAATGGGGGGGGAGCACACACTAGGGGACACAGGTGGAAATTGATTGCCCAAATGAGCCATAGAGACATTAGAAAGAATTTTTTCAGTGTCAGTAGTAAACAAATGGAATGCATTAGGAAGTGATGTGGTGGAGGTTGACTCCATACACAGCTTTAAGTGTAGATATGATAGAACCCAGTAGGCTCAGGAACCTGTACATTAGTTGATTGACTGTTGAGAGGCGGGACCAAAGAGCCAGAGCTCAACCCCCGCAAGCACAACTAGGCAACTAGGTAAGTACAGGAAGCAGCCTATAGCAGCTGTAACTCCCAGGTACCTACTTACTGCTAGGTGACCAGGGGCATCAAGGTGAAAAAAGTAATTATCAAAAGAAGGTACCAAACCGGAAAATCTACATAGCACCATCAAATGTGCGGAATTTCAGAGGGCATTAAATATCACCAAGGATGCCAATACAAAAACAAAAACGCATAAGGCATTATAAATTGGAGATGGCATAGGTGGGCAAGGGTGGTGCTCAGAGCTACAACTGGATATGCTAGCTGTATCGTCCTCATAGGTGCTGTATCACTTGCATCCAACCTTTGTGTTAGGTCCTTATTGCGCCTAGCTTCACCAATACTGTATCATGACCCTTATGTTCTTCAAACAATACAGTCTGAATTTCACCGACAGAACGTGATCTTTCAACACCGCATCGGACAGGTGTTTGGGAGGCAGAGGCGCGTGCGTCACCCATGGTTGCTCACTCAATACTAACCCAGCCAGCAGCCCTAGGGCATTCTGGGATTTTTTTCCAAGATAGCTAGCTTTTTTCCGAGATTTAGGGAGTCGGTCGGCCGAGCGGACAGCACGCTGGACTTGTGATCCTGTGGTCCCGGGTTCGATCCCGGGCGCCGACGAGAAACAATGGGCAGAGTTTCTTTCACCCTATGTCCCTGTTACTTAGCAGTAAATAGGTACCTGGGTGTTAGTCAGCTGTCACGGGCTGCTTCCTGGGGGTGGAGGCCTGGTCGAAGACCGGGCCGCGGGGACACTAAAAAAAAAAAGCCCCGAAATCATCTCAAGATAATTTCAAGATAGCTGCCTCTCACTGGAGGTTCTAAGAGTCCATTTCGTACACAACCTACTGCGCACACATCTTGAATGGGTATGAAATATTCTAAAGGCGTTTTCTCAGTTGGCGCAGTTTCCAACTGACCGAGTTTTCTCTGTTGGCGCAGCACAGTGGTTAAGGGTATTCAGAGCCCAGGAGCTAACAAGATGAGATAGTGGAAACTATAGAATATAATAAAGGGAACTGAAAAAGGCTTATTGGCCTATGCAAGGAAACTCGCAGATCACCAAAATGTACGGACCAATTTACTCCACTAGGGAAGAGTGGCCAGCAAAATCAAGACCAAGAAGCTATAAATTCAAGGAAAAAAATTGCTGAAAAAATCTGTTTTTTTCCTAAGCAGAGTGATAAGACTTGTGGAATAATATTAATGAAAGGATAGTTTATACCAAAACCAATTAAAACTTGGAAGCATTATATGACAAATACAGGAAAGATGGAACACAATTGTTGTTGATCTTGTACTATAACTACTTTTGTAATTACAGGCAGGAAAATGGCTTGCAGTATGATGACCTTGATACAGGAATGATTGAGGGAAAATGATAATCTTCAACTATCTTCTTGAGCAAAACATCTTAAACCAGGGAGGACAAAGAACTTGCCACAATGTCTTGTAGGAGAACTCCAAGAAACCTCAATTCTTGTCATTTCTTATCATGGAAAAGCTGTAGATCCTAAAGAGAACCACTCCTCATGCTAAAGGGGCTAAACTTGGAGTAGGTCCCTGTCATCTGTTTGTGGGCACATTCTGAAATAATGTCTTATGATCAGGCTTGGGAAGTCCGGGCAGACATTGGTGTTGTCACCAGTTGGGAATAGCTAGGTTGACCTGTCAGGTAATAAATTGATTTAAAACTTCATTTGATGGTCACTTGTGTTACAGAATCCAGCTAATATTCTCCTCTCCCATCTGTAAGTCATACTCCCCCTCCCACCCCTCATTGTACATATCTAGAGGCAGCCCAGTTTTAGTTTATAAATCTTAAAAGGAGGCAAGATGCCACAAAGACATTTGTGTTTTAAGTTTGAATAGGGAAGGGGCCAGAGAAAATAGAGGCCTCCACCATAAAATGGCAGTTCAACTGGAGTATACCCCAAGGATATTCCAGAGGATTTTGGAACCGGTTTGTAAAAAAAGGGACGTGATTGGTCAGTTGTAGGGGCTTGGCCATACTGACCAATTGGGAAGCGCTCCGGGCATTACTTGGCGTGACGTCGGGGGTGGGGAAATCTGTGGTCACTAGCCACCAAGTGTTAAGAGTGGGCAGGTGCAATGCTCGGCGGTACCAAGTTTTGGAGAGAGTTAAGCCTCCAGAGGGACGAATTCTCAAGAAATTCTCGACAAACAATGAGGAGTGTCCAGTCGACTTCCAAGGAACTGTAGAGGGGACTGGTCAGTGAAAGAGGTTCACTCGAGGCTCAATGATGGTGGAATTCCAAGTTTGTCTCGAAGCGGCGCTGGGGGATTGAGGTGCAACCTGCAGGCCATTCCAGCAGTGAGGAGCCACGTAAAGGAGCTCGGGTGGTGGAGTCCTGGTCCAGTGTAGCAGTAACAACAACCGAGGAGAAGCAGTTGCACTACACATCTACGGTAGAAGAGAAGTGGACCAGTATTCCAGTGTGAGGACACCAGGGAGGAAATGTGACATTTGCTGCCTCCTAGCCGACCAAGAGAGGAACTCTGTGATAGGGAACAGCTTACCTTTTGAGATCAACCAAGCCAACTACTGAGGGAGGAACCAACTTCAGAATTGTGGAGTCCTAGAGGAGCTACACTTCGCCACTATGTTCTGCAGATACTACAGCATCCAGGAGCGATTATTAAGGTAGATAAATTTGCCCTTCCATTTTCCTTTGTTAGGGAATTTGTATTAAAACACTTTGATGCACCCGGTACCAGCGAAAAAACTCTGCGCATTGTGCGCGCAGTTTTTTTCTCATGAGCGTAAACACCAAATAGTGTGTAAACTTTTCACTCTCCTGACACCAATTCTCGAGCTATGTATTTCCTTTTGGTATCAATGTGTTGGCAATAAAATTCTCTACAAGATCATATGTATAAAATGTAACCAAAGCATTAGCTATTCCACCACGAAATAAATAAAAACGTAGATCACTCGCCGTCTCGCCGTACACCCAAACAGCTACAAACCAAACAGCTACAAAATGTTCATACTCTTTTGTTTGTTGTCAGCTCCACATTAGTCCTACAGCGTTAAATTTTATATCACTGAACTCACAATAAAATTCTCTACACAGACATATGCATATAAATGTAGAATCATGATCGCGGCCAACACAAGAGTGTGTGAAGTGGGCGATTACCCTCATTGTGTCACCAACTCAATAGTCTCTCCTCTAAGTTACAATACAATGCCGTTTTCTCAAATAGGCACTGTGCCTATTAGAGAAAACGGAAATTTAATGGCAAACATATTCATACAAACCCCAAGTCGATTGAGTAGTATATACCCACTATAACACGGACCGTAAATGTACGACGCGACCCCACAAGCGCTTAAATAAACCGCCCGTACATCCAAGTGTAGGGGGCAGAAAAGTGTTAAATTAATTAAATATCAAGTGTATCAGGTGAGAAGTAATGCGAGGAGAAATGCTGGACAGAGTGAAATTATATGTTATTCATTTAAGACTGAGGCTCTAGTTTTATATTCATTATTTATTTGGAGTTCGTGTCCTTATATTATTGAAGTGAAGCGTCAAGAGGCCTAATGTTCCAGAAACAGCTAGAGAGAAAAGATAGCCTGGCGATTAATAATCTAAAGAGAATGTTGAAGTGTTGCCATATCATTACTGACTTTTGTAGTGTTGCCATCTATAAAATAAGCGAGAGATTTGCTGACAGTTATTGTGTAGCCTTAATTCTAATAAACTGAATAATTTTAATATGGTGTTTACTTTCCCTCCTTCATTTCTCTGAGGTTTACTGAACACCAAACAATATTCGAACTTTCTACAGGGTTAAAAGTTCCCTGTAGAAAGTTCTACAGGGAACCCTGTAGAACCCTGTATTCGAGTTCTACAGGGTTAGAACTAACTCTGTAGGTGACTAAGGTGCTCTCCCTGGGTGGACAGTGGCACAGAGGGAGGGAAAGTACGACCTGAAATGAGGAGTGCTAGTGTGTGAGTGCTGCGGCACAAGAGAATGGCCATATGCCATGTACTCTAGTCTTTCAGGTCTCCTAAAGAACACGCCACACTTGTCATATTAGGGGAGAATTCAGAAGAGCTTAGAGTTTAAGTACCTCTTGACAGATTCCTTAGCTGGTTTTAGATTTTTTTCCTTTAACATTATGAATGACCTGGCAGGGATGATTAAAAGATCCCTGCAATGCTAGTGCCTGCGTTCATGAACATTTTATATCACATGGCAGATTCCTACCTGTGAAGCAACTGAATACAATAACTCAGATATATTAGGCAGAATAAACAAAAAAAAAATAGGCAAGTGAAAATTTCAGTATATTCAAAATAAGAGATCTCACAACTAGTTAACTGTAAATAATAATAAAATATTTAAATATAATTATATCTTTCATGTTCTTCAAAGACAATATAACTCGATCTACACTATGATTACAGTTGTGAAGTGTCAAATAAAAGACGCATATCATCCATGCTTTTGAACAATATATCAGCAAATTTTCTGGAATCTGTTGCTGGACATGCTCTTTTGGATGACACATGAAAGAAAATGTTATACTCTGTAGGTAGCATGTAAGAAACTCCATAACCTTCATCTGAGACTGGACCAAATCCTCCTCCAGGTGAGCACTGTTAAGAGCAAAAAAATATAAGGATTATAAATACCATGTAAAGCCATGCTTCTATTTCTTGTGAAATGGGAAACCTAATTTATTTTTTAATCATATTTGATATAGAAAAGACCAGTGTTAAATGTAATGAAACACCTTTTCCAACAAGTCCTTGGCGGTTCCCTGAATTTATCTAGCCGAGGTAGCTCCTCTCATACAAGTCACATCAGCCTTAGGAATACTGTTTGGCTTACTGGGAACTAGAACCAGAAACTGGCATTCTCACAGAGGCACAGGGAGCAGGGAATTGTTATGATCACCCACCGAGAAAAAAAGAAAAAAAAAAAGCAAGCAAAGCTAACATACAAGTGCTTACAGAAATACAATTGGTTTACAGAAATAAAGGAGATAAAGCAGCCAAATAACTCTGCAAGCAATTCACTTGGTAGTTTGACTGAACTCCTTGTTACAGCTGGCACCACCGGGAGTTCTCGGTTTTCATATCATCAAAACCTCAGCCTGGAGCTGAAAGACCATGAACTGACATACCTGGAAAAAGGAGGAGGAAACGGAGCCACTGAGGCCCTATCAGAATCCTAGGTAACAGGGGGTATAGGGGGCACTGCACTGTAAAGAAGGGACCTTTTGTAGTAAGCTTGTTGAAATGCTGGTTATATAGAAGTGTACAGTATTTTTCAACACTCCTGCCAGATTAGCAGCTACCTCTGCACATGTGAAAGTGTATTTACCATGGGAAAACCATTCTCTTCAAAAGTATACAACTGAATTCTAGTACATACATACAAACAATTTGAAGTACTTTGTGACTGGAAAACATGAGGAAAATATTAAATGTTTAGACCAGTTCTAAACTTGGCAAAAAATAAAAAGAAACAAGATTTGGAAAAGAAACAAGAGAGGCACTGTAGGCATCAGTATAAGGAAATCTATATAGCTCCAATAGTCAAGGAGGATTTAAGGGATTTAATCGAGAACTCAGCAAAGGTATATCCACAGTGTCCCAGTGGTGGCTGTCAATTGTGCATGATTTTCCATCTTGCAATTTTATTATTAGTCATAATTATAATAATAATTTTTGTAATTAATAATTATTACTCTTCCTTCTGCTGGGTCATGAAGGAAGCTGGCCTCGGGTGAAAGGGGGCTATGATGAGTCTGGATCCCATAGGTGCGGGACTCTGACGTCCTCCTTCCGGGGCTTGTGCGGCCCAAGCTCTGCTTCAGGAGGCTGGGGTCGTTCTTCTCCGGCCCCAACCATGACAGTCTCCGGGTTTGGAGTCCCTGTGCCTTCTTTTACCAACCTCGAGGTTAACACTGGTGCTGGAGCCCCTAGGGCAGTTTGTTGATGCCTTCAACCTTGTTCTGACAGTTCGTGTGACAGCGCTGGAACCAATCGTACTGTATTGGCATTTGCCTTTCCACTGGAGACTTTCGGCGCCATGGAGAGGGGAGGAGGACTTGCTGCTTGGGTAACAGCTTCTTCATTTCGAACTACCCTGCCTTTGCGCCCTAGAGAGGACACTCTACACCGACAACCAGAGAGCAACTCCATAGGCTCCTGAGACTGATGAATGCCTACTACTACTACTACTAATTAACACTTTCGCGCTCTCGGCGAAGGTCACTCAGCCAACCGTATGTGCGCGCGGCGTTTTTATCGCTTAAGCGTAAAAACAAAAATGTGTATACTCTTTTTACTTTTCTGACCTTAGTTTTCATGCTACGTATTTCATTTTGGTATCAACGTGTTCTCAATAAAATTCCCTAGAAGAACATCAGTAAAAAAAAGTCACGAAAGCTATAGAGATACCAGCATGAAATAAATAACTACGAAGATGAGTCGCCGTGAGCGCTCAACAGCAACAAAATGTTTTTACTCTTGGGATTATTATCACCTCTACAATTGTCCTACAGCCTTAATTTTGGTATCAATGGACTCCCAATAAAATTCCCAACACGATGATATGAATATAATCGTAGAATAATGGTCCCGGCCCACCCGCAAGAGTGTGGGAAGTGGGCGCACTGTTACCCGGTAACGGTGACCGGACGACACACGCGCGAAACGTTGCTCTGAAAGTTTATACTTATTTCACTGTTCTGATATTATTATTGTATGTATGTCATTCATTTTTGTGGCAATGTTTTCGCAATAGAATGTTCTATGAACTAAATTATACTACACAAACTTGGACCAAATAGGTGTACTTACCAAGGGAAGGCTGGTTGTGGAACAGTAAGTTGAGCATTTGTTCTTCACTCCACCTTCTTCAGGTTCTTCATTCCTGAAGTTGCTCAACAGATGGTTTGTAGGTGGAGTGAAGCTGTTGCGGGTGGTTACTTCTTCACCACCCAATACACCTGTTTCCGGTGGTAATTGGTGTAGCAGGGAACAACACAGAGTGCAACACCACAGGTCTTGCATCCATAGTTCGTGTCCTTCCTTGTACCGGACCGTGCGCATGCATGACACTTGAGACGTTTGGGCAGTCTGTAAATTTCATGTTTCAGTTTGTAGTTCATGCGATTTTCTGAATCAACAATAGGGCGGCCAGGTCCTCTCGCTGGAGGTGTAACAGGAGTTGCAGGAGAGTCAGATTCATCTGACAAAACAGTTTCGTCAACTGGCAGTGTGGCAGACATGTCGGGTTCAGATTCGTTGTCTGCTTCATCTTGAGAGGCCGCCTCACACCAGATGGTCCGGGAGTTGGCATGGCGTCAGCATTGGCAGGAGCTGTGTCATCATTTATGTCTGGAGCGTGCCGCAAGTGTTGAGATGATGATGATGTTTTAGGCCACTCCTCTGTGTCCCAGTGCAATAGGGCCCAGATTGCCACTTCGTGGAACTGTAGCAATGTTAGCTTTTTTCGATCAGTTGTGTTGTATTTGTACAAAACATAGGCATTATGCAATGCCATTTGCAGGAAATAAAAGGTAATCTTTTTGATCCACTTGTGAGTTTTCCTGGTAAAATGGTAATATTTAACCATTTGATCGAAGTGGTCCACACCTTTCATGAACTTATTGTACTCGCAAATTGCAGTCGGTTTGTTCACTGTTACCTGTTGTATTCCACTTGTTCCGTCTCGGTTGCGAATTCGCTTCCTTCGCTGAACTCGCTGAGTATCTGCATTGTGGATGTTGGTAATGATTGAAACCACTCGCTTGTCTTTCCACAGGAGAATGAAGGTATTATCTTTGCGGCGGTATACTGTGGTATCCAGTGGAAGTTTACCCTTGGCTAGAGCTTGCAATACCTTTGGGGCGCCACGTAGCATTCTAATTGTGCCACATGTGTACACCCCAAGTTCTCTCAATGTTTCTGTCAGGGTAACCGAGTTGTAGTAATTATCCATGTACAAATGGTAACCCTGGTTCACTAAAGGCTGCATCAACCCCGTTACTGTATCCACTATCGTCTTACCAATACCTGAGTATACGTCAAAGTCATATATGTACCCAGAGACAGCAAGCATATAAAGTTTCACACCATACTTGTCTGGTTTGTTTGGATTGTACACTTTGAAGGATAGTCGGCCTCGCCATGCCATTGTACCCTCATCCAAACACAACTCTTTCTTGGGGATGTAAACTTGAGCAAACCTCTCTTTCAAGTAATCCATCACTGGTCTCACTTTTATCAACTTATCACGATTGTTCACGGGCACTGCATTGGTATTGAATGTGTGGAAAAAACTGGTTTATATGCTGGAATCGTCTGGACGGCATGAACAAGCTGAAGAAACGAGCATGCCATGGCTTTGCTGTTTGCCAATACATCCTCATAGTTGGGAGCCTAATTATGCCCATCAATATGAACAGTCCTAGGAATCGCGCCATTTCACTCACCTTCACTGGGGTCCAAATATCTGATACATTTTCATTGGCCATCCGGAATAACTGCGAGGCGTACAAATTTGTTTCAACGGTAAAGAACTCAAGGAGGGCACGCGTGATGAACAATTGAATATAAGCCAGTGCACTAGTAGGCTTGGGAATTTTCAGTCCAGGATCTCCAGTAAAATCATCAACAACTGGAGAAGTATTGCTACGACTCCAGCCCTCACCAGCCCCAGCCTGCCGAGTACGTACTGTACGTGTACGCCTTTCAGCAGGCTCGAATGAATCCTCATCACTTATACTTTCAGAATCACTTGGCGCAATTTGTCGTGTGTTCCTACGACGAGTAACATGTCTGGTAGCAACTTTTCTAGGTAGCCTAGATGCACCACGTGTGCGCCGAGATGGAGGAGGAGGAGGGGGTCGCGGTGCCTCCTCTTCCTCGGTGAGGGCCTCAGTCTCCTCATCACTCGTTGCCGTATCATTCCCTCTAGCTCTAGGTACACTATAATCGTTGTGGATTCCAAAATCTTCCTCCAATACCTCTACATCACCTTCAGCTTCTGATAAATCCTCCACAAGGCCTGGAATTTTCGTTGGTGTGAGCTTCACTCCGCTCCACTTCTTAAAAATTTGGGTTATTTTGTCCACTCTCGATGACCTGGAGGCTTCCTTGGGCGTAGAAGTGCTTGGGCCTTGACCTTGATCCATTTTTGATGAAGTAATTGGGTATAATCCACACGGAAACGGGTAAAAATGCTCGAGTTTGGCGCGTGAGGGGAGCGTGATCGACTCACGACACGTGACACGAAAACAATGGGCCCATCACGTGACCGGGTAGGCCGACGCGCCAGGCGGCCTAGTGGTGAGAAAGAGAACTTCATGGCGCGTCGTTTGAAATAAGCCCCAATGAAATCGGATTAAAATTGAATTTTATACAAATATTTTAAAAGTTGACATAACTTTATGTCCACTATGCGTTTACGTTAGACGAAACCGAACGCGCCGGCGCGTCCAGATAGCGCGAAAGTGTTAACTAAGTACAGTGGAACCTTGAATAACGACGTTAATCCGTTCCGGCGCCATGATCGTCATATGAAACGGACGTCATACAAAACCAATGTCCCTATTGACAATAATGGAAATCAAATTAATCCGTTCTACCACCAAAAAACATCAATATGATATTCAATGTTTTAAATAATGGAACAGCCTACCTTACAATAAACAAACCTTTATGACATTTTTCTTTCTTCAAATTTGTTCAAGATTTTTTTTCATTTGTCTTATAGCAAAAGGTTCATTCGGTGTTCGGCAGGTAGGCTGCTCCATGTTTCTTAAATAAAAAAAAAAACGAAAAATAAAAAAACAGTTGAAACAATTTGAAAAATGGACAAATGCCATAAAAGTTCATTCAGTGTTTGTCAGGTAGGTTGCTCCATTATGACAATCTTTCTTTGTTTCAAATGTGTTCCATGCGTTTTGTATTTTTCATTTACGTCTCAATAATTGAAGCCAACAGGACTACTCTCCCCTGGTAAGTCTCCAAGTGAGTTAAGACCTGGAGCAACAACCGAACCGGGGAAAAGAGGTACAGGTAACTCCACCTCGACCAGTCCAGTCGAAAGACATCGACCCTGACAGCCTCACAGTCGAGGAAGGGCGCCACATAAACTGGGAGATACCTTGACCACGCTGACGCCAAGAGGTCCACCTCCAGGTGCCTGAACATCTGATAGAGCCAAAGGAACAAGGTGTTGTTGACCATCCATTCCGTGTACAGGGGAATGAAACGGGACAGGCCGTCCGCCACGAGGTTGGACACCCCCTGAATATGAACTGCCAGGAAAGCCAAACCCCAAGAACTCAGCAGACGAGTCATCTGAAGAGACCAGCCCCAAAGAGCCAAGGACTTCATCGAACCTCTTTGGTTCAGGCAATGAGCCATCGGGGAGCAGTTTGAATAGAGTCAAACCGTCGATCCGCAAACAACACGAACCCTCTGAAGCAAAAGCCACACCTCCGCAAACTCATGCACCGTGCTGTGAGCCCAACAGGACGGACGGACCCCACTGACCCTGGCCGACCTAGTGCGCACTGGTTAAAAATCCCACGAATCCTGAATAATGGTCCCAGGCATGAACAAACAGTGCGAGCCTCACCCCCATTGCCCGTCACCAGGGCAAACCGATAACCCTTACGAAAGCCCGACCGACTCTCAGAGTGAACACTGTGCCGACCACACGTTGACGGCTCCGCAGCAGGGGCCAACCCTGAATCTGGCACCACTGGCTTACGATGACTGAAGGAACCCCGAGCCCTGGCACGACTCTTCCGGGCAGGACCCCCATGCCCCCCCCCCCAGAGAACCAACAAGTCCAACATAGGCCGGCAACTAGACGAAGATGCCTGCAGAAAATGCACCACCTCAGACTCTGCAAACAGCAACGGACAAAAAGGGGATGAAAATCAAAGAGCCAGGGGCCCAAGCAGATTCTAAAGAGTGGACAAGCATCATCTGCTAGCACGCGAGGCAAGAAGCAAAGAACAGAGCAACCCGTTCTCGCAAATTTAATAAGTCAATATTGACTTATTAAATATGTGCATAGGTGACATACTTAACATAATAGATACCCTTAAAAAGATTCATAGAAAACACCGACCTTACCTACCCTTGTTAGTATCTTAAGATAAACATCTTATTGCTTCGTAATTACAATTATTACCTAACCTATAATAGGTATAGGTTAAGTAATAATTGTAATTACGAAGCAATAAGATGCTAATCTTAAGATACTAACAAAGTTAGGTAAGGTCGGTGTTTTCTATGAATCTTTTTAAGGGTATCTATTATGTTTAGTATATCACCTATGCATGTAGTTAATAAGTCAATATTGACTTTACGAATTTGCGAGAACGGGTTGAACAGAGACACTGCTGTCTTCAGAATCGGCCCAAACAACTTTAACAAGGCAGCCGATGCTCGAGCTGCCGAGGCAAGCACACCGAACATTGGCCGAAACCCAGTTCCTCTACACCCTCCTCGAGCCAGTCTGAAGACAGTTCCAGCAAGTAAAAGAAGCACAAGACTGAAGCCAAATGCCCGTGGGTGCACAAATTGTCAGCCACCAGGGACGTTGAAAAGATGGAAGTTTGCACATGACGCTGCACTTGGCCGATATCGCGAGGAAGCACAGAGGCGAACAAGCATGAATTGAGGTGCCCCAACGAAGCACCTCAATTCGAGTGTGCATTGTTTAATCAGCTGTAGTTTGTTTTGCAATTCCTACCTTTCTGGGTGCCTGACCTGGTAGATGACAGATATACACTGCTTCCAACTACATGGGGGTGTCTATATGCCATTGCTCCTCATGCCTCTCTGAGGGGGCCAGGTTCTGGCCCGTGGTCCCTGGTAGACCTAGAACTCCATCGATTGACTGTTGCCACGGTCTAATATTTCCACATCAGCTCGATGTAGCTCCTCAGAGCCGGAGGGGCTCTCCACAGAAAATAGAATATTCTATATAAAATATGTTTTAAGTTAATATATTTGTGTGTTTGGGATGGATTAATTCAATTTACATTACTGTATTTCTTATGAGAAAATTTGAGTAGGTGTAAGAATATACGGGTTATGTTGCATTTATTAGAACTGATTAAATTCATACACCGAGGTTCCACTGTATATCATGTTAATGTAATTTCTTCATGTAATTGCATGCTATGCTATTATTATTTGTGTAAATAAATAATGTACATAAAATTTGCATAACCTTACCATTTATGAACAAAAAATTATTTAAATTTTAATTAAGTAATTGCTATCCTCTTCATTTTATAAATCTTAAAATTTACAGTCAATGGATTTATATTGTTAACTTAACCCTTAAATGGCGCCTGGCTATTTAGCATGTGTCACTCAGGCGCATACCAAAAAAAAAAATATTTTTTCATATTTAAATTATTTTTAATTTAAATATGAAAATAATTTATAAAAATTATTTTTTCATTTAAGTGGCATATATTGCCCGCTATAGAGTGGGGAAGTCTGGCAAAAAACAGGCGCTGACTCAGCGTGCATCCCAGACGGTCTGTTGCTCGCCAGCTGTCAGGCCGGAGTTGCCACAAAGATAATTACTGTACCTAATTATTTCAATGTCTGATTTTTCATAGTTTTTTTGCTGTAATATTATTCAATAGTGTGTAGCGTGATATATTTATATAATAAAATGAGTGAATCATCGCTGTACTCAAAAATATGGTGTACATATTGTTGATTTAATTATGTTCATCAAACAGTGAACAAATACTTTGTCGGTTATTACACTATATACACAGGTTATATATAAGTATCTGCATGTTTTGTTCACCATAACGAACCACTAAGTTGCTATTATGAGTCAAAAAGTAACGAGGAGTGACCACCACACACCAGCCAGCCACTCACTCCCTCCCTCAACACCTCACTCGCCCACATTCTCCTCCCACCATACTTTTTTGCTTTTATTCACTATATACAGACGTTATATATAAGTATCTACATTCGTGTTCACCATAACGAACCACTAAATTGGCATGCTGAGTGGCAGTGCCAGTGGCAGCCCGCCACTGGCTGCTACTTCTTCCCTCCTTCAAGTCAACTGAGGGAGGGAGGAAGTGGATTAGTCACCTGACTCACCCACATTCTCCTCCCACAATACTGTTTTTGCTTTTATTCACTATATACAGACGTTATATATAAGTATCTACATTCATGTTCACCATAACGAACCACTAAGTTGGTATGCTGAGTGGCAGTGGCAATGGCAGCGGCAATGGCAGCCAGTGGCAGCCCGCCACTGGCTGCCACTCCCTCCCTCCCTCCCTCCCTCACCTCACCTGACTTGCCACTATTCTCCTCCCACCATACTGTTTTTGCTTTTATATACAGACGTTATATATAAGTATTTACATGTTTTGTTCACCATAACTGTACATCTAAGCTTGTATGGTGAGTAAAGGCACAAAGACATAACTACTCACACAGTCAGCTGGTGGTGGCCGCCCTCAAGGCCAGACGCACTAATATTTCTCCTCCAACAATACTGTTTGTGGTGTTATTACGCTATATACATACATTATATATAAGTATCTACCTGTTTTATTCACCATACTTGTTCAAGGAAACTGGTATGGTGCCCAAAGACCATAGTGGTCACCAGTAAACATGACAAGTCGTGCAGACGATGCCACCTCCCTCACCAAAATGGCAGCTCCCAACCTATTCCTATTGCTGTTTATACCCTCTATACACACGTTATATATAAGTATCTACATTTGTGTTCACCATAGCGAACCACTAAGCTGGTATGGTGAGTGCAGTCAATAAAAGGTGGCCACACACAGTTAGAAGACAACGCCACCACCCACCCTCCCACAGCATTACTCTTCCCTCCATGGTGCACAGCACTAAATATCACCACAATCCTGCTATTGTCAGAACCCTGGTCAGTTTTATCAGTCAAGGGTCTTCTGTAATAATATCATTGCTACATAATAGCATGAACAAGTATATTATGGCATTTTTAGGTGATAGTGTGGTCACAAACTGAACAGTAGTGCTGTGAGCTCATGCTGCGTGCGTCAGGCTTGGTAGCTCACTCAATACTGAGGCCCCTAACACCCGGGAATTTGGCCCACGATTTAAAAAAAAAAATGGCGTCTGTTTACAAGAGCCCTGATGAAGGTGTGGTGAACCCCGTGTATCCGCGGGCTGTTTAAATCTTGCGTAGTACTCCAAAGCATCATATGATGCGATGCACAATTTACTGCAAGTCGGTCAAAGCATCATATGATGTCTTGCACAACTAAAGGGTTAAACTATGGAACTGCAATGAAAAGACTGTTTATAAAATACCATTGTTCTGAAAGGTTCCAAGTTGATGTCAGGAGTATTAGCCTGAATCTGCTGTTGAGGCTGTTGGGATGTTGATAGTGTCCAGGGTCTACGAATGATGGACTCCAAGAACTGACTTTCCTGTATTAAATGGGAGAAGATAACAGTGAAACATACATACATAATGCATCACAATGCGTAATCAATGCAATAGCTATCAACAAATACAGTATAGCAATTCATGAAAAAAGAAATAGGTAAATACTTACATAGCCTAGTCCTTTTGATACAACATAAAGAGCAAACAGATGTCGGTCAATTCCCTGACCATTCATTGCATCACGGTAAAGCTTTTGGTGACGGTTACCTGCCACTCTTAACAGGTGCAGTAGTTCCTCCTTTGGTAGTCTTCCACTAACCATTGCCCTGGAGGATTAGAGGAAGTTGAAAATACAGCACTGATTATGATGAAATGCCCACTCTTTGGAGGGGGCATTGGCTCAATAGCTCTTCAGAGTTTATTCACTGGTATCCCAAGACCTATACCATCTCACTATGTATAGCAGACTATCATTGTCCACTGGAAGCAGGACCAAGCTTCCCACTCCCTCAGAGGGGGAAAATTGAGTGTGTCAGGCACGGCAAATTAAAGGAAAACCTCTGCCTAGAAGGTCGCTACAAATCAACACACTCAAAAAGTTTGATATTATATATACCTGCCATATACCTGTCAATACCAAGGATCCATGTCTTTACAGCCCAGTCTCTAACAAAGACTCACCACCTCCTGGATGGTGGTCTGGTTAACCAGGCCGTTTGATACGGTTGCTCATAGTTTGATGGGTGAGCAGATATGCCTCATTCGGGAGGAACCCCCCAGACAGGGGAACCATAGACTCCGCAAACAGCAAGGTCAATATGGCGACAAAAAACAAAAAGCCAGGGCCCTGGCAGAGGCCAACGAGGAAGCGAGCACCATGAGCCAACACGCGAGACGCGAAGTGAAAAACGGTGACACCGCAACCCGTAGGAGCAGTGCAACCAGCACCAACAGGGCAGACCGACGCACTCGAAGCAGAGTAACACGAGAACTGCCCAGGATGGGTACCGCATAATGGCAAAAACGCACTGCCTGGCAAAGGAACACAAAGAAAAGGCCGTAGCCAGGGCCGTAATCCTAGCTCCCCGTCCCAACAAAAAAGAAACAGTAGGGGCAGGAGTGGGTGAGAGGAACTGAACTGGTACACAGTCCAACCTAGCACCAACACTAGTATAGCCAATAAGCATATAATAAGACACACAATGTGCAGTCCAGAGGTAGGAAAAGCAAGGAAAACGGAATGTACACGACCAAATAAATATACACACACACTCCAATGTATACATTAGAGTGTAGCCAGGCACTGAATGACGGCCAAGGATGGAGGGACCAGAAGCAATGACTGAATCCAGGAATGAGTGTTTAGAGAGCATTGCCTGAAGCAACGAATGAGTGCCCAGCAAGGAAAGAGCATCCAGACAGCAAAGACCGAGTCAAGGATTAGATTCCATATGATGTCCCATGAACCCTTCTCCTCAATCAGGCCTTAGCCTTGGGCTGAGGAGCATTGATAGAAGCACATAGAAAGGCCACGTGAAGATGCACACAAAGCGCCCAATCAACACACTACAAACAACACCCCACACTCATCCAAAAACCGAGAACCAGCGCCTGGCTGACAGTGTCGCCAGACCGTATCCTCTCACCTGTAAAGAGTAAACACTATCGTGTCACGACACAGCTGAGCCATGTAATATTCTGGGAGCAACGCTAGTGGACATGTCCAGAGATGCATGAACCGTAGATGATGAGGAGAATAACGATGGAGGCGGCGGCACTCCGAGCCACCCCACACCCGTAAAAGCAGAGAAAGAACGAAGGGTTCTTCCCATATATAAAAACCCAGAACTTCTCCAGTATCCAGGGCGCTATGACTAGAAAGAAGCTGAACAAGAGTGGCGTAGAACCTGTGATAAAGGACATGAAACACCAACACATGATGAAACCGCACATAAACCAAAACAAACACCCTCGGCGCATGCGCCTAAGGATCGAGCAGCAACACCCAACCCTCGGGGAGGGTGCCTAAAAGGTGTACTAAACAAATATTGGTAATGTCGAGACAGAGTATGGAGATTAGATGAAAGGAGAATATAATGAGATAATATCGAAAAACAATTACTAGGACGGAAGAGGACCAACTGGCAACACAAGAAAAGCCGGGGCGGCCGATAAAGCAAGAAGAAAACGGGCCCACTGGTCAGACCCCGGACCAACGGCTAGAGGAATGGACTCGAATGCTTCCGAAGCCACCCCATAAGAGGCAACCCCCGAAATTGCCCGAGTCTCAGAAACCTCTGAGCCCTACCCCGACCCCGAAGCCCTCAGACGCTTTGGAGCCGGAAGCAGGAGGGGGGAACCGAAGAACAGGCAGGGAAAAGAGAGAGAGAGAGAGAGAGAGAGAGAGAGAGAGAGAGAGAGAGAGAGAGAGAGAGAGAGAGAGAGAGAGAGAGAGAGAGAGACAGAGAGAGAGAGAGAGAGAGAGAGAGAGAGAGAGAGAGAGAGAGAGAGAGAGAGAGACAGAGAGAGAGAGAGAGAGACAGAGAGAGAGAGAGAGAGAGAGAGAGAGAGAGAGAGAGAGAGAGAGAGAGAGAGAGAGAGAGAGAGAGAGAGAGAGAGAGAGAGAGAGACAGAGAGAGAGACAGAGAGAGAGAGAGAGAGAGAGAGAGAGAGAGAGAGACAGAGAGAGACAGAGAGAGAGAGAGAGAGAGAGAGAGAGAGAGAGAGAGAGAGAGAGACAGAGACAGAGACAGAGAGAGAGAGAGAGAGAGAGACAGAGAGAGAGAGAGAGAGACAGAGAGACAGAGAGAGACGGACAGAGAGAGAGACAGAGAGACGGACAGAGAGACAGTGAGGAGAGGAGGGGGGTCCCCCTCTCAGGAAAGACAGGAAAATCTCAGTTACTGGGATTGGTATAGGAGATATCATCGACAGGATGAATAACATTTTGTTAAACAATGGGAACAAGCCAATTATCTGCCTTTCTGTTGGAGGAAATTATGGTGGTAATGGTAGAAGTGTGTAACTTGCAAATATATTCAAGTTAGCACTAGATATTATTAGAAAAGAGGAAGGGTTCATAATGGACGTGGAGTTACGTAAATGTTCGGTGTTGGGGTGAATCATTGTCAAGGGCAATTGGTGTAACGCTGTTTTTGTGGCTAGTCCTGGGAATTGCAAATTTAGGTTGCCATGAAGTTTGGTACAGTATTTGGGGCCTTTAGTTATGAGCGGGAGTAGACAGCCCCTTCTTGAGAATATTATAAAAATGAACGGAATTGCAACCACTGCCCTATCTCACGAGTTTGATGAACTCATCAGAACTTAGCAGTGATAATTGGCCATGCTTTTAATCCCAACAATAAACTTGCAGAGAGTGTCGAGTTGTTTGTTTCTACTCATTTTTTTTTTTTTTTTTTTTTTTTTTTTTTTTTTTTTTTTTTTTTTTTTTTTTTTTTTGAGATATATACAAGAGTTGTTACATTCCTGTACAGCCACTAGTACGCGTAGCGTTTCAGGCAAGTCCTTAATCCTATAGTCCCTGGAATACGATCCCCTGCCGCGAAGAATCGTTTTTTCATCCAAGTACACATTTTACTGTTGGGTTAAACAGAGGCTACAGTTAAGGAATTGCGCCCAGTAAATCCTCCCCGGCCAGGATACGAACCCATGACATAGCGCTCGCGGAACGCCAGGCGAGTGTCTTACCACTACACCATGGAGACTGTTAAATCTTAAATTATCTTTATCTTAAAGCAAATAATTGCTTTGTGATAGACTAAAATAGCTTCATGGTTTCCCCACCCAAATTTTCATTCAAGACAATTTATAAAGTAGACCAGTGCCTGGTGTGTGTGAGCAGTGTCATGGTGGACCCTAGCCCTGGTTTGAATATCAACCAAGGAACTGCTCAGAAAGGAGTAATTCATTCCACTCAATGCCCCATTTTTTTTTTTTACACATTAACAGATTCACACCTTACAAATGATGCAGCTTCTTCTGTGCAAGATCTTACTGTTTCTGTTCGTCCATTTTGGTAGAGTCTTGTTGCAGAGGCTTCATAGGTTTGACAAAATCTGAAAAGTTTAAATACTTTTTTAAGATCTAGGATAATTTTAGCCCACAAAAATAAAGCAAAGAAATATTTCATACTACTTGTGTAAGGAATAGCTGTTAAAAAACTCTGGCTTTCAATGTAGACAAAGTCAGTTTTAACAATGTATAATAATTATGTTGAAGATTGCCCAAAAAACCAGCATTGAATGTAATGAAACGCCATTTTCTGGAGGGAGCCCCTATGGTTCCCCAGAGCTACCCATGGCTGATATGGATACCCTAACTATTTTGCATCAGTCGATGTGGGTGGAGTTCTAGGCCTACCGGGGACCACGAGCCAGAACCTGGCCCCCTCACAGAGGCACGGGGAGCAATAGCCCATAGAAATGCACATGTGATTTGGAGCATTCTATATCTGCCATCGACCGGGACAGGCACCCAGAAAGGTAAGCGCCACAAAACAAACCCCTATTCTGGTTAACAACGAAAATTGACAAACGAGTGGACAGAACTCCAAGAAAAACGAACAAACAAGCATGACGTCACACGAGCCGCGCCGCATGTCTGCGCAGCTCCCCCCCTCCCCGGGAGGGGGAAGGGGAGCCCCAGATCCCTGCGCCAGTTCCGAGGCTGGATATCAAAATCGCGAAAAAAACGCCAACCTGAGGGCGGGAGGGTGCCGGGAGCCTCTGGGACTAGCCCAGAAAATGGCGTTTCGTTACATTCAATGCTGGTTTTCTGGGGAGAGCCCCTACGGCTCCCCGGAGCTACTTCACCAAAGACTACCTAAGAAAACAAGGGGACATACCCGGGAGGTGGTCGGTGCTCCACTCCTCAACACAAAGTCAAGACAACAACAACCCAAGGACCCCTTCAGAACGCAGCAGTCACATCCTTCGTCAGAAAAAGGGAGATGGCTGCAGACGAACAAACCTATGACCACGACCATAGGAGCAAAAAAAAAAAAAAAAAAAAAAAAAACACTGCACCGAGAAGAGCATGAAGCTCCGCCACACGATCCCCAGAGGCCAAGGCCAACAGAAAAAGAGCCGTAGCAAAGCAAAACCGAAGGAGCCACAACAAACCAAGAAGAAAGACAGGAGAGCACTCTGTCCAAAAACCAGGATGGCACAGGCAGTGCATGAGCAGGATGGAGGTGAAACAACGCACAAGACAGCCTGCGAAACGGTGCAGAAGGAACATCGATACCGAAAGCAAGCAGCAGCGGCTCCGCCAGCACTGCACGATACGAGGCGACAGTATTAGGCAGCAGAAACCAAAGTGTCAGACCCAGGAATGTCCCCAAGCGCCTCTATATCCTCCGCAAGACAATCCGATGACAGCTCCAGGTGGGAAAGAAATGCAGGACCGAACCAAAAAGCCATGAGCGCACAATTCCACTGCCACAAGTGCAGCTGACAGGGAAGGAAACCTGCACAAAGAGCCGCCCCGCACCAACATCCCGCAGAAGGGCAGGAGCGAAAAGACACTCATCAAGATTGCAAAATCGCCCTCAGGAAAATGAGCAGCGCCGAGACAGCGCTAAGAGAAGAGATATGAACAAAAGAACGAGAAGGCCAAACACCCAGAAGCTGCCCGGAATAGGACCCACAAGCCCTAGAAAGGACCGGAGGGAAGCCCCACCGAACGACGACAGACGTACCAGAAAACGGGATGGAGCAAAACCGACCCGAACCCTCGAGAACAAAAAGAAGCAAACACAAAGGACGAAGGCACAGAAAAACCCTGTCGCACCCGAGACCAAAAGTCATGCAGAACCCCAAGAAGAGGGGGACATGACGGAGAAGTCCCCTCCCAGAAAAAGGGGGCGAACACCGTAGAAAAGCACCCACCGACATGACGGAAGCAACGGGCATAATGGACAAGGAACCGAGCCCGGGGAGGGGCCGACGCCCAAAAAGCTTGTGTGGAGAGGGGGGACGGAAAACCCCCACTCCACAAAACCGCAAGCCCACCCCATAGGGATAGAAAAACCCCGGCGGGAACCAACGGGGTCTGAGGCCCCCCCACCCCAGCCCCGGGGCCGAGCTGTCCCCCCAAAGCCCCAGCGTCAAGAAAAACCCCGTTCCAGCCATGAAAAGCACGAAGGGAGCCCACTGGGCTCTGGAACTTGAACCGAAAATGAATAATAGGCGAGGGGCGAGACGAAGAGCCCAAGCTCATCCCCAGTCAGCACAACAAGGCAAGGACAACGAGGTTAGGACAGAGAATCCAAGGAACATGGAAAAACCAGGCCCGGCACAGCAAGACCGGCAAGGAAGGAGGGCCCCAGAGGGAGCACGGAAGGGCCGAACAAAACACCACAACCATACCCCAACACGCAGCCGCAGTACCAAAACTGCAGCAAAACGTCACCACACTTACTTATTTACTTACACACCACACACCACCACTGCTTGAGTTAAGTGAAAAGGTGGTGGAGGCCAAGACCGTCAGTAGTTTCAAAGCGTTATATGACAAAGAGTGCTGGGAAGACGGGACACCACGAGCGTAGCTCTCATCCTGTAACTACACTTAGGTAATTACACTCCCAGAGGAAGTGACGGGGAAGATAAAGATGAACCGTATCACGAGTGGCACACAACAAGGGGACACAGGTGGAAACCGAGTACCCAACCGAGCCACAGGGACGGTAGAAGAAACGTGTGCAGTGTAACAGGCAATCAATGGAACAAATTAGGAAGCCCACACCTGGGCTGACCCCACACACAGTCCCAAGAGCAGAGACAAGAGCACCCAGGAAGCACAGAATCTGCATGTCAGGCGAACGACAGGTGAGAGGCGGAACTAAAAAGCCAGAGCCCAACCCCGCAAGCACAAGGAGGCGAGCACATAACGCCCTCGACACAGGAAAACGTACCACCGAACAGGCACCTCCACCGTTGCACCGTGGAACAAGGTGGAGGTGGGGCCCCGAACTCAAGCATGATTAGACAAGCATAGGAGAGGGGCAGGATGAGTACAGGCAGGAGTCGCCTCGTAAGGGCCAAGAGGCCACCCGCAGTCACCCGTGAACCGAGGGAGGAATCGGGTGGTGAGAACAAGAGCTGCCACGTATGGGCCAATAGCCCTGCAGCAGGCACCTCGGTTGTTATGTTCTACGTTCTCAAGTACGTATGTACACCCATCCCTACTTTCAAAAACAAAAACAGCAAACAGCATCAGGACGAAGGAGACGCCGGACCGCACCAACTCACCTGCAGAACATAGGCGCTGAAGGGCCATGACGCATGCCTATGAGAATGTAGCCCATGAAGGGCGCCCATGCCGGAGAGGAGGAGGGGAGCCGCGAAAGAGGCTCCCCCACCCAAAAACGTAGGGAAAAACTTTGTGACTTCCCCACAGCGGCACTCCAGAACACCCCCAAGAGCAACGGGGCACGGTTTGGAGAATGATAAGCGCGAGAGGTGAAGCCCCCGACAGAATATGGACACAGAACACCAACACGTGTGCACACCGCCCGGAACCAAAACAAACTCCCACGGCGTATGCGCAGGACACGAAGAAAAGCAGCCCAACCGGCCACAGGCAGCCCAACCAGCCACAGGCAGCCCAACCGGCCATAGGTAGCCCAACCGGCTACAAGAAGCCCAACCGGCTACAAGTAGCCCAATCCAGTCACAAGGTGCCAAATCCGGCATCCTGGACCAGAACGGAAAGAACCATTACAGAGGCAAACTCCGGGTCACGCAGGAGGGAAGCCGCAAAGGCCAACCGCACCGCAGGCGAAGAGATGCGGGTAGCCAAAAACCTCCGGAAGATGGAACCGAAGAAACCACAGGGACACGGAACCGAACCCGGGGAGGAGCAGAAGTCTAAATCGTACGCAGAGGGGGGAAGAGAAAACCCCACTCCTTGCAACAGTAAGCCCTGCTCAGAAGGACGGAAATTCCGGCGGGGCCCAATGGAGCCCAAGGCCGCTCCTCCCAAACCACAGGAGCCTCTACACCAGGCCCCGGGGCCGAGTCGACCTCCAAAGCCCCGGCCTCACAAGAAAAAGCTGGGGCAGCCGAGAGAGCTGGAAGAGAAGGGGCCCACTGGTCAGACCCTGGAGCATCGGCCGGAGGAACAGACTCGAATGCCTCCGCAGCTACCCTGGACGGCAGGGCAACCCCCGAAACTGCCCAAGTCTCAGAAACCTTTAACCCCGCCCCGACCCCGAAGCCTTCAGACGCTTAGGGGCCAGAAGCAGGAGGGGGAAGGGGGTCAAAATGAACCACCGAAGGGAATATCAAGGGGCATGGACGGAAGCAAGGCCAAAGTGACCAAAATCCCCCAAGTCTGGGTCCCTACACAAAGCGGGGCAGCCTCGGGGCGTCCGGGGAAGCAACAACCCAAGCGCGTTGCAACAACCTATCCTGCAACGCGCGAGCTGCCTGTACCCAAGGGAATTCATCCGCAGACTGGGTGAAGTGAGACATGAACAAGCAACAAAGCTCGCAGGACTCGGGGTCGAATATGTCACCGACTCAACAGGCAACATGACGGAGACAAAACAAGGAGAGTCACCCTGAGACAAAGGGACAGAGCAACCCTCAACTCGCACAAAGCGAGAGGGGACGCAAGGGTCTCCACTATCGGACCCGAGAGCCCCCGTGGGGTTTCCCAGGGCCCGTAGACTGGGTCTGCTAAGGGTTATCCCAGGCAGGGCACTGCTAACCGGTGCCCCAAACTACCAAGCAAACTGCTAAAGCTGAACCCACGGGACGTGTCCACCCGTGAGGGCGAAGCAGGGGGTGCCACCACACAAACAACCCTAATATATGGGGGGGGGGGGGACATAAGGGAGACCCCCCTACCAGACAAAAACAAATATAAAAGAAAAACCACACAAGTAGACAACGTACCCAGAGGGAACAGAGCCGGCCGCTGTTATAGGTGAAAACTAGCTACACAGTACCCTGCGCCCCACCAGTGCTACAACTACCACTTACTCTAAGGTAAACAAGGGAGGAAAACTCCCAAACACTCGGGGCGGCCAAATGCCAAGCAGCGAAAAGCCAACAGAGGTAGACCCAAGGTGACTTGTGGAAGGCAACCCCAAGCCCCAAGGGCAGTACTAACAGGGCACTCAGGGAAGGTGACCCTAAGCACATGCAGCCCGAGTACCTGAGAATACTGTACTACTCCCAACTCATACGACCACCATAAGAGCAGCACTGAAAACAAGTCACAGCACTGAGACAAAACCGGAGCTGGAGCCACACGACCTTGCACTATCCCATCAGCCGAGGAACTGGGTCGGGGATCGCCGGCGCAGGGGTCTGAAGCTCTCCCTTCCCCCTCCCGGGGAGGGGGGAGCTGCGCAGACATGTGGCGCGGCTCTTGTGATGTCATACTTGTTTGTTCGTTTTTCTTTGAGTTATGTCCACTCGTTTGTCGATTTTTGTTGTTAACCAGAATAGGGGTTTGTTTTGTGGTGCTTACCTTTCTGGGTGCCTGTCCCGGTCGATGGCAGATATAGAATGCTCCAAATCACATGTGCATTTCTATGGGTCATTGCTCCCCGTGCCTCTGTGAGGGGGCCAGGTTCTGGCTCGTGGTCCCCGGTAGGCCTAGAACTCCACCCACATCGACTGATGCAAAATAGTTAGGGTATCCATATCAACCATGGATAGCTCCGGGGAGCCGTAGGGACTCCCTCCAGAAAACTTTATATGTAATGAAATGCCACTTTCTGGTTGGGCCTCAGTGGCTCCCTGAAGCTAGCTGGCCCTCTTTAGTGCCTTCCTCTTTGCCTATGAACCCCATGTTCCTATACTTTTCTATGCAGTTTTTGTCTTCTTTTCCTCCTTACGCTGTTGTACCATGGGTTTGTTGTTTTCCTTTCATCCACTTCCCTCCTGAATGGTATGAACTGTTCCATTGCTTCTTTGCTTTTTTGTGTTATGACTTCCAACATCTCATTTGCTGACTTTCTTCCCATTTCAGTCTCCTATTGAACCTCCTGCAGACAATTTATAACCTTCTTCTGTATTTTCTTGAGCTCATTGTCCTGTTTCCAATGTAATCAAACATGATAATGCAGTAGTTTAGGGTACCAGGAAGATCACCTCTCTTTTGTTGGCTCCTTCATATGTTGCCACAGGATGTGGTTGTCTGTAGTGTCCACAAATCTTACTCCCCATGTTTCAACTACCCTGTGAGGATCCTTTGTTGAATGGTCTAATTCCATGTGGTTAAAATCCCCAAGTATTAGGATTTTTACTCTAGTTCTCATTGCCACTCTGGCCATCTTTTATATTATCTTCAGTCATGTTTTGTTGCATTTATCTTATTCCTCCCTTCATTAACCATCCTGGTGATAATGAAGCATTGTAAATAACACCTACCACTATTTTCATAGTCCTCAGTGTTCCTGTCCTCAGTATTAAATCCTGATGGTTAGGCATGTCTGGAATCTCTATCTCTGTAACATACAACCCTAAGGAATATTATATCAAATCCTGCCATGTAAGGCTTGAGTGTTAAAGCATACTAAGTGTACATATCCTGTCACTATAAATTACACCCAAGATGTGTCAGCACCATGTAACAGTAGAACTGTTAATATAGAAGACCATAGATACAACATTAAATGTTGTAGTTCACTAGAAGGACAGGCTAGAGTCATCCCCCCCCCCCAAGGGATTAGAGCTCATGTGTAGAAAACAGTAGCGCCACATGGACCCTGTGTTGAGTCATCAAACTAGGATAATAATTCATGTATTAAAGAAATAGTAGGAAGAATCAATCGTGTTTAAGTTCAGTACTTATGTTAAAATTAACGTCAATTGAGAATAAAGAATAAGCTTCGTATGTTATCAAAGAAGCATTTGACGTCAGTAATAATACGGTATCTCGTTACTTGGAAAATATGTACCTTCTTGCCTGCTTGTTAATTCATGTAAATCAGTAAAATTCAAGGGTTATTGAATATTGAAATTAGCCTGGCTCAAGTATCTAAATAATTCCCAACTGTTTTGAAATACGTCCCTTTCAGTGACAGTACAGGAGTTTAGTTGTCAAATTAATCTTCAAAGATGATTGCTAACTAAACTAAGGTCAGCCTCATCAAGGTCAGTGGAGAAATAAGTCAGTGTGGGTCGAGACATCCTGGGGGGTCAATATCTCCTCTCCAGAGGCATGGCTGAACAACTGGCCAAGCTGTGGTATTTAAGGTAATTGATCTGTCTGATTTAAGTGCAGTTGTAGACTCCACATTGTTTTTGTATTTATTGCCTCTATTTTAGGAAGAATTTCAGTTAGATTATATTTAGTTTAGGAAGTGTTCAGATGGTTTTTTTTTTTTTTATTTTCATTGATAATCTTTGTTTAATAAATCTTGTTTACAATTTATGGTATTTAGTGGAATTTCCCCCCCCCCCAACGGTTATTTTACATTCTGTTGATGGGCTCAAGCCCCCATGCTTGGGACTAACACCCTCTGCAAGCCTGCAAGCAGTTATTTAATACATCAGATAATCCCTTTGTACTTTGATTTAATTCCACACTTAATGTAAATCTTATCCCTCCTTTTCGGATAACTGGAGATCCATTTTTAGGGTTTATGTCTCATATACGGTATCCTGCTTCACCGTCAATTGAGGGAATTACTCAGTGGATAGATGTAGCAGGCGGTGGCAGCTAAGTCAGAGTTTGCAGTGTAACATTGAAAGGTACAGTATCCTCGAGCCATGATATCTAAACGATCGAAAGTTTTAGATCTCGAGGAGTTGAACTGAATGCAGGCGATGAGTCACAATAACGTGGCTGAAGTATGTTGACCAGACCACACACTAGAAATTGAAGGGACGACGACGTTTCGGTCCGTCCTGGACCATTCTCAAGTCGATTGGCCAATAGGCCTGCTGCAGTTCTCATTACTACTATCCCCTACACCTGACTTTCCTCCTCAGCTCTCTCTTGCCTATTTAATGCCTGTCCCTACCTGTCCTCATCACAATCGACTTGAGAATGGTCCAGGACGGACCGAAACGTCGTCGTCCCTTCAATTTCTAGTGTGTGGTCTGGTCAACAGTTGAACTGAAGGTTACACAGAACTCTGGTCTGTAGGATTACTTAATAATGACCAGCGTTTAACCAGTAAGTGAGGTTAAAGGCTGGCCCCCGTTACAATGGTGGCAGCAGTGGAAAACGCACTGGGTTTGGACATCGAGCAAGCACCACCTGAAACCAAAACTGGGCCAGCCACCATGGGGTCAGAAGAACCCTTCCCCGATAGGACTCGAGCAGAGTTAGAACCTGAAGCAACAGCTGAACCGGGGGGTGAGGTACAGGTAACCCCACCTCAACCAGCGTCTACCGTGATGGCCTCGCAGTCGGGAAAGGGAGCCAAATAGACGGGGAGACGCCTCAACCATGCCGACGTGAAGAGAGCCACCTCCGGGGGTCCGAACGTCCGGCAGAGACTAAGTACACTTGCAACACCGTATTGAGTTCCCGTTACTCAAGCGTGCAGGAACAACAATGTATGTCATGCCCCCAATAAAAAGAAAGGGCAGTCTGCAAGCCAGGAAGATGCCAGTACCTCAAATCGTATCCAATACAGGGAAGAAGACCCGAACTCAATGGAGACTGGGTCAAGCACCGAGTCAAAATCCGGGTTTCGCAGGAGTTGGGATCGAACTTCCCGTTCAGTAGACCCAACACATTTAAACCAATAGGTGCACTAGTATTTAATCCAAATTTTCCTAATGAGGTTTTATTTCATTACGGTTTGGTCAGGTGTCTTTCTCCCCAGCCAGGACCATCGTCAGATGCAACACACTTTACTAGGCTAGGCCCTGACTATGGCCACGAATTAAAATCTTGGAAAAGAACCACAGCGACTATAAATCATCTATATTAACAGGTGATCATCACCCTAAGACAGGGCCAACGAACAAGCCTCAAACTCGCATAAGGCTCAAAGGGGGCTCAAAGGACACATCCACTGGTTAACTAAGCCCCGATGTGGGTTTCCAGGGCCCGCAGGAGAATGTGCCCCTACGGGAGGCTGGTGCTGCCAAAGTCATATGTAGCCGGCCAACTTGGCCCCTGTGAGGTGAGCAACCTCAAGAGGCCCTACTGAACCTAGGTATCACCTTGGTTCAGACATGGCAGACATGAATACTTTCATACATGAGTTTCATAGGCCAATGCTCCCTTTGCCTCTCTGACGGGACCATCTTCTGGCTAGTGGTTCCCGGTAGACATGACAACTCTGTATGACTAAAGCCCCATACTAATACAGTATTAGCTAATATCAGTCAAATAGTTCCAGGGAGCCGACTGGGTTCCCTCACAGAAAAAGTGCCAAAAAATTACTAGAAAGTTCTCTTTTGCAAACACACTGGTAGACAGTTGGAACAAGTTAAGTGCAGATGGTGGTGGAGACCAAAACTGTCAATATTTCAAAGTATCACATGGCAAAGAGTAGCCTGTAACTTGGGACTCGTATGGCCAACAATTCAAAGGGTGGGCCACACAGGCGGACATCAGTGAAAGGACCGAGGATTTTTGACATGGTAGGCCAGCAGCTATCTTTTCATTTTGCAAAATGATAGACATGGAATAAATAAGAAAAGAGAATAGTGTATGTCACCACCACTGGAAACTTCAAACTGTGACAGACAAGGCACCATCTTGTAACTACTGCACACAGGTATAATTAAACACACACTGTCAATATTACCTTTCATTTCGTATCTGCAATAAAATTTGAAGCTCATCAGCAATACTTATCTTCTTAAATAAAGGCTAGTGCTTGCAAGCAAGAACATTTACCTGCCACTGTGACGATAATATGCAAGCTGGAGTGCTATCTGGATAAAAGCATCAGGGCTCACTCGAGCTTTCTTCATTACACCTTTGCCATACTTGTCATGATTCCGAATTTCAAGGTCAAGATCATCATTATTCTGTAAAAACAAATTATTAAACTGTGTTAAAACTTGTATTTTGATGCTTTATTAGTGAAGCATTGATCTATAAGCTTTTCTCTGACAGCCCAATGGTTGTAGATAATATTAGCCTTTCAAATGCACGTGTCAAACAGGGATGAATGCACCATATTTGACCCTACTGCATAGGTCAATAAGGGATGGTTTAAAGTATGGTGATTGACTTAAGTCATGTGCATACACACTCATGAGGAATTAGTGGAAAAAAAAAAAAAAGGAATTACTGACCCATGTCCACGTCATATAAATTGCCATCCACACATCCGTGTAAGTAGTCAGGGGAAAGTTTAAAATTCCAATTTGGCAGTAGGATGCTGCTTCTGGAAACTATTCCTTTTAAGACTGCTCATAGCCAAGTTGACAGAGCTACGGCCTCACACGTGTGGGGGGTCTACAGTTCAAGACCCATACAGACCAGGTAAAAGGAATGTTTATTTCCATGGAAGTGTGGTTGGCAATTTATATCACCGGGGTATTTCACTCCTGTCCATCGCTGGGAGGATCCTGGCTCTTATCCTGCTCAACCGCCTCCAACACCTTGAGCAGGGCCTCCTCCCAGAGAGCCAACCTGGCTTCCGCGTAGAATGTGGAACTGTTGATATGATATCTGCTGCACGCCAGCTCCAAGAAAAATACCAAGAGCAACATAATGACCTCTTCATGACCTTCACGACCTGACCAAGGCCTTCAATATGGTCAGCAGAGATGGCTGGTGGTAAATAATGGAGACGTTTCACTGTCCCAGCAAATTCACTGCTATTGTCTGGCAGTTCCACAATGGCAAGATGGCAAACACTCTTTAGCATGGCATTCTCAGCCATGCTCACTGATGGATTCTGTGATTGCCAGGATGGGATACTCATCAGATACAGGACTGATGGTGGGCTGCAGCCCACCATCAAGTGCCTACAGTTCATTACAAAGGTGAAGGAAACTGTTATAAAAGACTTCCTGTTCACTGACAACTGTGCCCTCAATGCCTGCAAAAAAACAAATGATGTAGCACGAAATGGACTGGTTCTCACAAGCCAGCGACAACTTCGGTTTCATCATCAGCACCAAAAAGACTGAAGTCATCTATCAATCTGCGCCCGAGAAAATTCCTACCAGGAACTGTACATCACTGTGAAGGGGCAAAACCTGCAGGCAGTTGACAACTTCACCTATCTTGGCACCATACTCTCAAGAGCGGTGAACATAGATGAAGTCAACAACAGGATTGCCAAGGCCAGCACTGCCTTTGGAAGATTCCATGAGAATGTCTAGGAGTGGAGGAGCCTCGGCCTTGCCACCAAACTGAAGGTCTACAGTGCTGTGGTACTCGCTACCCTTCTCTTCGTCAGCGAGACCAGCACTGTCTACAGCAGACATGCCAAACAGCTAAATCACTTTCACTTGAGCTGTCTCTTGAGCTGTCACAGGCTCTTCCATATCAGGTGGCAGGACAACATTTATATGCTTTATATGCATATACTCCTGTAGGGAATTCTACAGCGAACACAATGATACCAAAATGAAAGACCTAGGAAGAGAATTGACGTGACAAAATTGAAAAAAAAAAAAAGAGTAAAAACCAAGATTCAAAAATCGTGCGCTCATGCGGAATGCGCGACGCACCTTGGGGTGGTCTGGCGCTCGCTCGCCCCGTGAGCAAAAGTGTCAAGATAAGATAAAAAACTTCAAAACAAAATATTCGAGTTTTTGTTATTTACGATTTTGCAAATATTTTTGTGTAAAGGAATGCAACACTTAGAAAGGTAAGATACAAAATGATGTTCAAATGATATAAGCAAATCAAAATCAAATCAAATCTACTATAAAAGGTGGATAAATGATGTGCGCAAGGATGGTGAGTTGTTGCTGCAGCAAGTCACAAAAGTGGAAGATGCAGTGGCAAGTCAAATTACAAAAAGATAAAAAAAAAATTCAATACACACACTGCTGTACAGAGACAAATACTGTACCAGAATAGTTTCAAATAAAATGGTCAATAAATTCCCCGATTAATAGGTATTATTGCTGTTGCAAGAATAGAGCACTGAATTATTCAATTTCAAGATCCTGTGGCACAAAAAGTCTTACCTTTTGATTAAACAAAGCTGCTTTATTGATTTCTTTTTCAAGTTCATCTGTAATGTCCCAGATGATTCTCCTGTGACAAGTGTAGTTACTCTGCTTGAATGACTTTGGTGGAGGCATCACTTGTCCATTGTCCAAATATCTTTTCTCAATTACTCTGTAGTGATATTAAGTTTAATAAATAATCTAGCATTGTTAATTTTATCACATATTATGCTGTATATAATGGTTATATAAATCAATTACTACAGTATTCAATAATACTCTGTTAATCCTTTACACATGCTCATTATTTGTGATATAGAAAGAAGGTATGACTGTAATGGAGAATACTCAGACTTAATATATGAGAATTTCTATTTACATATTTTCCCCATTTTCATACAATAAAAATGTGCAAGTACTATAACATGTTAAGTGTTGGTAAGCATCTTGGCAATACCACCATTCAGCTCGGAGGTTCAGCTTGGTTCATTGACGGGGAGCCACGTGTGTAGGGCGGTCCGCGAATTAGCATCAATATCCCGGGATATTTAAGTGTCAAAGAACCTAAAAACAGGTTTTGGTCCTATGAAGTGTACAGCAACGCAGTGTTCAGTTATCATAGTGGTTTCTTCTAACGTTAGATTAGCCCCAGCATGGAGCCCATACCATGTCAAACACAAGACAAAACTGGAAAAAGTTCAGAGGAATGCCACTAGTCTAGTCCCAGAACTAAGAGACATGAGTTACAAGGAAAGGCTGCGTGAAGTGCACCTCGCATTGCTGAAAGACAGAAGAGCTCACGGAGACATGATCACCACATACAAAATTATCAGAGGAATTGACAGGGTAGACAAAGATGGATTATTTAACACAGGTGGTACACACACACAAGGGGTCACAGGTGGAAGCTAAGTACTCAAATGAGTCACAGAGACTTTAGAAAGAACTTTTTCAGTGTCAGAGTGGTTAGTAAATGGACTGCACTAAGAAGTGATGTGGTTGAGGCAGACTCCATACACAGTTTCAAATGTAGATATGATAGAGCTCAAAGCTCAGGAATCTGTACACCAGTAGATTGATGGTTCAGAGACGGGATCAAAGAGCCGGAGCTCAACCCCTGCAAGCACAACTACGCGAGTACAACTAGGCGAGTACTTAACTTTTGTAAGTTAAGTATGAAGTTCCATTTTTTTACCTCATTGGGCTTTTCTAAACAGTGGCTAGTAAAAAGTTTTTTTCCACACAACTTGGAGTCAAACATGACACCCAGCAAGAGTTAGAGGGCTTCCTCACTCTGCCCTTGGGTGATGCTCAGATTAGTGAGGGGATTAAGTTGTTCAGAGAGTTGTTGGGCAATTAGTGGATTCCAAAAAATATTTTGAAAGAAGGTTGAGCATTTTGTGATTTCCCTTCATTTCAGGTGGTTAATCTTGGTAGTGGACTAATTTCTGATCCACATGGGATATGCTGCCAAGTGGAGGGAATAAGTCAAAGCTTGGGAAAATTCTTGTGTCTGCCATGCAAAAATTGTCATTGGAAGCCTGGTGAGGTCACAATGTTTTATGTGCACCAGTAACATTAGCTGATACAGCTAAGGAGTGCTACAAGAGTGATGCAAGCTGGGAAAATATTTCATACTTGTAATCACATTAGAAAGAGTGTAAAAGAAAACACATTAGCTAATCGAAAGCAGAGTAAAAATATCTACTGTATTATATGCAGTACTAGTACAGTTTATGACAAATATACAAAGATATGAAACTGTATGAAATAATGTGATTATTGTGAGCTAACAGCCATCAAACACATTGAAACTTACTCCATGGTCATGGCATACTCCCATACATGACCCATTGCAGGTGCATCTGCCATTGAATGTTCAACATTCAATCCACACTGGCCATCAGGGAAGAAGCATATATTTACACTCTTGTCAAACCTGCAATAAATACAAATTAATATCTTGAATATTAACAAGGTTTTGCACACACATTAGCTAAGCATCCAATATTGTTATCCATTTATATATAGCCCAGGCACCTTACTTCCTTTTGGGAGCTTCCCATTAGAGGGTGGCCACAATAAACTTGTTACTCAAGCTCATTAATCACTCCCACTACTCTTTCCTTCATACACTTCCCTTCCCATCCAAGATAATAGTTGTCTGCTTTTACCATACAATTTCTGTATTCCACCCTTGTACACAAACCCCCTCTTGTTAAATGATTCTCAGATATTCTATTAACATGTACATACCACCAGTGTATTGCACTTGATCCACTCCTCAGTTCCACATTATATTCCTTAACCCCTTTCAATCATATCACATCACTCATATACTTCCTCATTGCTATACCAATCCACCATAATTCTACCCTGTTGTCATCTCCGTCTTCTGGTGTGTGTTGACCAGACCACACACTAGAAGTTGAAGGGACGACGACGTTTCGGTCCGAAACGTCGTCATCCCTTCACCTTCTAGTGTGTGGTTTGGTCAACATACTTTAGCCACGTTATTGTGACTGGTGTGTGGCCTGCTTCTGGTGTGTGTGGTTTGGCCATTCACCCTGTCTCAGCTTATGCCAGGTGTGCGTGCACACTATTTTCACCTTTGATGAGCACCAGTGTGATTTTTCAAGTTTTGGATATGCAACAAGTTTTGCTGCTGGTGTGACAGCTTTTTAGATGATGCATGAAATCTACAAACTCTTTCTTTTGCTACCAGCTCACATCTGAACCAAGATTTGAACCAAGATCTCTTGTGCCAAGATTTCCTTTAGTGTGCCGCTCTGCTGGTTGTGTTTGTGCATATGACTTACTAATCCTTACTTACAGTACATGTATGTTAATTTAATATGGAAATACAGAACACATGTAATATATAAAGATGCACTTCAAACACAAGAGGAAACACCAAGTGACCGGAATAATTATTTTTAATTTGCAGGACTTGAACAAACCCAACAACATGTGTGCATTACATTTATTAAAATGACACGGGGAATGGGACATGATACAAAAGAAAAGAAATTTATCAACTCACCAGACCAACTACTATACTCACTCACAATGAGAAAACTGAGGCAAGCAGCCTCCACAGTGAGGTAGATCACTCGTACACACCTCATGCCACACCCTCAGTTGCACAAGTCTGGATATTCCCTCCCCCCCCCCCCCCCCTTGGGCATGTTGGAAGTGTGGGCTACACTCCAGAAACACGCATGTGGGAAAACTAATTTCCACAAACATTCTCTCATAACAACTGAACATACAGTACTTGCAAACACTAGCAAATAAAACAGAAATTAACATTAACAAAAATAAAGCAAACTGATATTTTTAACTAAAAACAAAACATTTAGATTAACAACAATAAAAGTTAGAATTTATATACTAGAAAGAGACTGGCCTCTATGGGAAGAACACCCAAGCCCATCAGGGAAGTAACCCAGTCACGGAAAGGGCAACACTAGCGAGCACCTAGGGAAGGATAGCCCAAAGCAATGCAGCTCGAAGTGAACTATTTAAAAAGTCCACACAAAAAGTGAGAGTCTTGTACACACATGCACACGAAGCATATACTTGAATAGAATCGAAACTATGACTAACACTTGCGTATAAAATTCCAGAACCCGCAGAGCTCAAGGCATAGTCAGAAGTGGCTAATCTCAGACCTACCACAGAAGCTCCAATGGTCCTACCACCTGCTGGGGAGAGTAGCGGCTACTAGGGGGAGGGAAGTATGACTAACTACTGGTTGAATTACTTGCCAAGTCATTTACTGCATTGTCTCCTTTCCTTTGATCTTGTAATTAGTTGTCTGCTTTGCTTCATTTCACCTACTTTTTGGGGGTTTGTTTCTTCAGTGAGAGTGGTGATGATCTTCCCTGATCTTTACGGCTGTGTGAGGTGGACAGGTTTTGCCTTCTGGAAGCTTTTTGTTCCCCTGGGCTATGCAAGCATTACAAGAGGCATCTCCTATATGCCCCCAAAAATTCAAATTTCAAAATATATTTTGTCTTCCTATATTGTTAAAATGTCTGCCCTAATCATTGGAAAACTACTTAAAAAATCGCAAACCTTGGGTATAGTCAAGTGATGAAGACCTAACGACACCATCAAATCTTTATCACTGACAAAGACTAATCAGGGCCAGGTTGCGCATTTAACCACTCTGCTGCACTATTAATTTAAATATGACAAGCCCCCAGTGTGCAGCAAAAAATTGTTTCCCAATTTTGTTTTATCCTTAAAAGTTCATTCTCTGATCACAGGAAACTAAAAAAAAAAAAAATATTATGCATGACATACTTTGACCGTGATGGGATGAGGAAGTCTGGCAATATACAATCACACTGACAGTACGTGCCAGCAGCGATATGCTCCAGTCCAGCAGTGTGGCGGGGACTGCAGTAGATATATTTTTACTTAAATATTTTAATGTCTTTGAATGGTTTATACAGTATCTACTGTTTTGCAGCAATATTATTCAAGTGTATAATTTGCAGAATTTATTTAGTTAACCCTTAAATGGTACATGGCTATATACCATTTGACACCCACAGGCACATAAAAAAAAAAAATCTTCCTAACCTGTTAATTTGTGTTCACTGATCATGGGAAAAATAATAAAAAAATCGTAAGTGGCATATATTGCCTGCTATAGGGCAGGGAAGTCTGGCAAAAAACAGGCGCTGACTCAGCGTGCGTCCCAGGCGGTCTGTTGCTCGCCAGCTGTCAGGCCGGAGTTGCCACAAAGAGATAATTGCCTAATTATTTCAATGTCTCTAATTGATTTTTTGTAGTTTTTTGCTGTAATATTATTCAATAGTGTGTAGTGTGATATATTTATATAATAAAATGAGTGAATCATCGCTGTACTCAAATATATGGTGTGCATATTGTTGATTCAATTATGTTCTTCAAACAGTGAACAAATACTTTGTCGGTTATTACACTATATACACAGGTTATATATAAGTATCTGCATGTTTTGTTTACCATAACGAACCACTAAGTTGCTATTATGAGTCAAAAAGTAACGAGGAGTGACCGCCACATTCCAGCCAGCCACTCACTCCCTCCCTCAAGTCACCTGACTCACCCACATTCTCCTCCCACAATACTGTTTTTGCTTTTATTCACTATATACAGACGCTATATATAAGTATCTACATTCGTGTTCACCATAAAGAACCACTAAGTTAGTATGCTGAGTGGCAGTGGCAGGCAGTTTTTTTTTTTTATTTTTTTTATTATTATTATTATTATTATTATTATTATTATTTTCTACCACAGATATGGCCACACATTTACAATGCTAACCAGCATATATACATTTTCTTCTGTCCTCCATGGACAGGGTTAGAGAAGTGTTAAACATATGCCAGTGGCAGCCCGCCACTGGCTGCCACTCCCTCCCTCACCTCACCTGACTTGCCACCATTCTCCTCCCACCATACTGTTTTTGCTTTTATATAGACGTTATATATAAGTATTTACATGTTTTGTTCACCATAACTGTACATCTAAGCTTGTATGGTGAGTAAAGGCACAAAGACGTAGGACCTCACACAGTCAGCTGGTGGCTGCCGCCCTCAAGGCCAGACGCACTAAATATTTCTCCTCCAACAATACTGTTTGTGGTGTTATTACGCTATATACACACATTATATATAAATATCTACCTGTTTTATTCACCATACTTGTACAAGTAAACTGGTATGGTGTCCAAAGACCATTGTGGTCACCAGTAAACAACACGATAAGTCGTGCAGACGACGCCACCGCCCTCACCAAAATGGCGGCTCCCAATCTACTCCTCTTGTTGTTTATACCCTCTATATGCACGTTATATATAAGTATCTACATTTGTGTTCACCATAGCGAACCACTAAGCTGGTATGGTGAGTGCAGTCAATAAAAGGTGGCCACACACAGTCAGAAGACAACGCCACTACCCTCCCCTCCCACAGCATTACTCCTCCCAAAGATGGAGCACAGCGCTAAATATCACCACAATCCTGCTATTATCAGAACCCTGGTGAGTTTTATCACAGTCAGGGGTCTTCTGTAATAATATCATCGCTACATAATAGCATGAAAAAGTATATTATGGCATTTTTAGGCAATGCTGTGGTCACAAGCTGAACAGCAGTGCTGTGAGCTCATGCTGCATGTGTCAGGCTTGGTAGCTCACTCAATACTGAGGCCCCTAACACCCGGGAATTTGACCCATGATTTTTTTTTTAAATGGCGTCTGTTTACAAGAGCCCTGATGAAGGTGTGTTGAACCCAGTGTATCTGCGGGCCATTTAAATCTTGCGTAGTACTCCAAAGCATCATATGATGCGATGCGCAATTTGCTGCAAGTCGGCCAAAGCATCATATGATGCGATGCGCAATTTAAGGGTTAAATGTGTGTGGAATATCACTATGGTAAAAAATATGGTGCTCATATCTAGTGACATACCGTATTTGCCGGCGTATAAGACAAGCTTTTTTATTTTTAATCCTTAAACTGCGCAACGCGCCTGCAGGCTCACGTCTGGGGTGCGCATACCTCCGGGTATTTTTATTTTTAGCGTTCCATTCAAAACTCCTGCAGCTACATGGGGTTCACTTCCTTTGTAGTTGTTGTTGACTCTCGTAGTGCCCTCATGGCTCTCGGGTCCTTTAATCCGGTTCATCCAGGTTGAGTTTTGTTGGGTTCCCAGCCATATTGGTGTGTCTTTAAATGAGCGTGCGGATGCTGCCGCCAAGGAAGCTGTCCGCTCTTGTCCCATCTCTCGTAAAGGCATTCCGTATTCCGACTTTTACCTGGTTATCCATTCCTCAGTCCTTACCCGTTGGCAGGCTTCTTGGTTGTCTGTTACTGGTAACAAGCTACGTACTCTTAAATGTTGTGTTTCCTCGTGGCTGTCCTCCTTCCACCGTAAC